AAGAGAATCTAGGGTAGTATAAATGAAGTAAAGGATGAAGTAAGTAGGTTAGCGGGTCTGAAAGGACGTCAAGAAGTCAATCGTTTAAGGAGGAGAGGAGGCATGGTCGTTTACATATGACGATGAAGGAACCCTTATAGATAAACTACGTCACTAGAGAAGAGGGTACATAACCCTGGGAAGTTAGGCCGATGAAAACCCTTTAGAAGGAACAAGACAAGCAACGAGATAAATGATGTAGAGGATAAGTTAATTATGGTCTCACTACGACCACCATTGGACGAGACGTGGAGGAAAGTGCCACCAAAGTCTAACGCATGCTGGTAGAAGACAGTGGGGAGTCAATACATAAGAAAAGACATGGAATGTGAGAGGGAATAACAGTTAGCTAGTAAATGGCAGGAGTGCATTGAGTTAGAAAGAGGATATTAGAGACCCTACAAACTACCCAGATCACAAAAGGTCAGGAGGACGTTGGGATCGTTGAAAGGGGAATGTAAGAGTTCACGATGATCAGTTATGGGATTGTCCTATCCTAAATGGAGGGAGCACCTAGCCGCCTAGGGTACATGAGGGGTGATAGAAGGAGGAACCTCTGTAATAAGTTGGAACTAGAGGGTTAAGAGCTGAAGTCTTGAAATTAGCTATAGGAGTAAGTCATTAAGCCAACCGAATACAGACAAGTAAGTGGAACGTTCAATAAATGTTCCAGTGAATGGCAGAGAATTCGAGGAAGCACATGGAAGTTCCAATGAAGGATTGAGAATATGTTTAGGTGACTCGAGTTCAAGAAAATGCATAGTGGAGTACGGCGAGGAAAAGCATTACCAAGAAGGAGGAAATCATTAAGTTACCTAAGCCAAGGTGCCCCACTCTGAGTTGGAGCGGCATAGTAGGATGTCATCCAGAGGAAGCGGCTAGTTAAGGATAAGTAAGACACGTTCAGTTAAGCCACTAAGAACCCAGGCTAAGAGATTAAGGCCATATACAGGCATCAATCGGGACAAATGACGTGAATGAGGTATGTTAAAGCCTACCAAGGGAAATCCTCTATTGGAAGGTTGGACCTAAAATAAAAAATAACGAGAAGATACTCAACGAAGGTTGGTAAACAAATATAGTATAAAGCAACACCAGAAGGATAGTAAAAGTAAAGAAGCAAGGAGGACACCATAGGACATTATAGAAAGAAAATGGTGGTCATCAACCGGGCGATGTATGCGTCAAGGAAGATAGCTAGGACGGACCGAAGCAGGAATATGATAAACAACAAGAAAGCATTAGGTTGATTACCAGTAGAGAACAATCAATCCATAGGAAGTCGATCAAGAAATTTTGGCCAATTATAAGGTGGAATCGTGGTCGTTAAGAATAGTCAAAGGGAGAACCTTATAAGTCAAGGACTCAAGGTACATTAGTGAGAAGATAAATATGAGAACCTAGATGACTAAATCGAGAATAAGGGACATCATCTAGAACTAGCGAGTAACATCAAGAAGAAGAGTCACAATTAAAGAAGTAAGAGGGATATGAGTTTAGGGAATCTGATAGGGTACCGCAAAGTGAAGCCCAGATCGTCTATGTGGGTGAAAGGTGTCGATCTCTCGGGTAAAATTTTATTGGACTGGGAAATCGTTCGAGCAATTTCAGCTAGGGTATAAGAGTGGTAGAATGGATAGTACAAGCACGTAAAATTCAAGCGGTGATAAGGAAGTGCTAAGTTAGGCGCCAGGAGTGAACAAGTAAGCCAAAGGGAAGGACTCTTGAAGGGAGTCATTTAGTTGTTAGCAAGCTAGAGAAAGATGCAAAGAATGCATTTAATGCATACATGAAGTAAAAGCAGTAGTATGAGGTTTCAGAGTTAAGCAAGAAGTAACGAGGACATAACCACTAAGTTTATGTTTAAGGGATAAGACGAGGCATCAAGGAAGAAAGTAAGGGATGCAAAGTTAGGAGTTACAAGGACCTAGGTGACCTATGAGGTCAACCCAAGACGAGAGTTACGTTAAAAGAGTTTTACCATCTGACTAGATGGAGGATAAGCTGCCATCAGTGACCTTGTTGTTGGAGAGGGGCATTAACTTCTCATGTACCGAATAATGGATAGTTATCGTTCCGACATATGTCCAAGGTGCAACCTAGGTGATGTGAGGTGTTAAGAAGCCACAATAACATTGAAGTTGCAGGGAGTAGAGAGAATGGTTTTTAGGTCATGTCGTATAAGTTAAGGGAAATACAAATCCTCAAAGTAAAAGGATTACCGCTGCCAACAATTGGGTTCAAAATCATTTTCAGTTTGTGGAGGCACGGTAGCAACATTACAATTTCTGCCACCACCTTTTGGAGCATGGGCTGTCCTGCTTTCTGCCATCCCCTTACCTGCCAACTGCTTCTTCTTCGTTGAGGAGGTAGCCTTGCGTTGGCCCTCAGTCCTTGGTTGCGGACCCAAATTTAGAGTATTGGTTGTACTTTTCATCTTTGTTGTCTTCTCCCTTGGTGGAGATTGTGCCACGAAGGTTCGTGGTGCCTCAATTTTTGACACGGGGACATCGACTAATCCTTGCCCATCTATCGGAGTCCTTGTACCAATTAACGCAACTCTTTGGAAGGCTCTAAGACTTTGTTCTGTTTCTCTTTTCTTTGGGCATGCACCCATGGGGCATGAGCTACCCTAGGCTCCCCTTGATCACCATAATGTGCTCAAATTGAACTTCCTTCTACACCTCTAGAGCTTGGAAGCAAGAGCCACTCCCTTCCAATGGGCATGTAGCGGTTGTCCTCGTGATATTGGTGTTATCGACCTCCATCTGTTTGCTTAGTGGATGCGAAGCACTGGCCCACTGCTAGTTTTTCCTAGTTTTCTACTTGGCCACCATCTATTCCCTATACGTAAGCTCTACAGGTTCAGTGGCGTGGCTACTAGGCTTCGGGGTTATCATCTTCGGGTTAGCTTCTCTCATAAGGAACGAGAACTCCACTTTTGCATGTTCATACCTCCCAAACTCGATGCATATGTCATCCAGCCCTTCATACTCTATACAGTACTTCTTTCCTTCTATATTAAAATAGAGAGGAGGGGTTTCGTCAGGTATACCTCTACAAAGACACATGCAACCCTACCCCGTTATCCATGCTGAGTCACACTATCCACCCGTACTGGATTTCCCATCCTCGAGGCGATCCTCTCCACCGCTTCCTTATTCACATACTTGATAGGTACGACTAGAAACTTCACCCAGACAAGTGTTGATGTGACCTCATCAGGCTTTGGGTCAAATCCCTTTCGCTAAGGCTCTGCTGTGAGCTAGTGGTCGCCTATTATCCAAAGCCCTCCCGCAGCTGCTTTCTCGTAGACTAGTTGGTGAGTGAAATTAACTACATAAAATACCTACGAAAATACTATTGATTTGGAGAGTTTCATCCTTGGCCCAGAGAGATTCCAAGCGACGCGCTAGAACTGGATACGGTAAAGTTCTTCCCAATACCTTGACAATTAGCGTTGAGCGCCACTTCCCGCAGAACCAGAGATTTCCCATAGCTTTAATTGGAACAGTCGGGCAAAGATGGTCATTATCTTCGTGAACTTCATCATCCAAATTGTCTTTTTTTCATTACTTCCGTTATGTCTTCGAATCCGATTGTGCAACATACAACATATCTTTCGCAGCCTAATCCTGAAACAGATTTCTAGTTCCTCGCGCCTAGGTGGACGAAGGGATTTCCCCGGTGGTATCGCCATAGCAGGCTTGCCGCCGTGCGTAGTCCCAACATCATCTAAGCTAACGTCTTCCATTAGTCAGATTAATAATTATGATTCTCTAACTTATTTCACTCTTCATTCATAATGCGGAAAGTCATTTAACAAACCTTGAATCTCGATTAAAGCATATAATGCCCTCTTAAATAGACTACTTAGAGGAAAACTATCCTAAACTAAGACAGAATAACAAGACAATTCACACTAGACTTCCACTATTGGGTAAGATTCTCATCAATCCAAAGCAATTGATCAACTTAGTCTCACATAATCCGTCCCCTATTTTCTAATCGATGTTGCTCTATCAACCTAATTAGATATTCTTTCTCAAAGGTAAAATCATAATCAATAATCTCGATTAATTAGTGACTTTAGGGGGAACATGCACGACCTAGAAGGGAAAAGTTTGAGCAGACCGTGACTTTCATGACCTCCTATGATATTCTCACTCCCTTTTTTTCGTTTCTCACGGTCGGTGAGTTCTGGAGTCACAACATGGATGAATCTATTTCCTGGCTCTAGGTCTGGGGGTTAGAAAATTGTTGACTATGGGTTCTGTAAACAAAAAAAAAAAAATTGTAGTACAATTCGTAAGGTGGTGGAAGTATGATTGTTTGGTAGGGAGTTCGATCAACGGTTAGCTCAGTTTTTTGTTCTTTTCTCAGTTGCAATAGAAAACCATTGGGGTATTTTAAGATGGAATTTTCTTACCATGTTAACTTTGTCAGGTTTTGATCCAGCAGACTACTTTTTTCCACCTTTACTGGAGAAGGATCTTATCTCTGGCACATCAAATTCTGGTGCACTATTACACCATGATACAAGGTCATCAATCCCAGAGAGTGATATATGATAGTAAGCAATCTTTTCAGGAACATAAATTTGTGGGCATGCTATATATTCCAAAAGGCAAGACAATTTAATGCTCAGGGATTACTGTACACTTGGCACTCCCTAGACCTGGCAATCGGGTCGGGTTGGGTAATTTCGGGTTGGGGACTCCGGTTATGGTTGAGTCATGTTTGATTGGTTGATTTCGGGTCAAATATTGACCAATCCATCAGGTTTCGGGTCGGGTTAGAAGTCATTTCAAGTTATGAACGCTCACAGAAACAATATCAAACATGCTTCATATTTTCTTAAAGAACACAATTTTAATATATGCATGACAATAGTTTACCTAACACATGTCAATTAACATATTCTCACATCTTCTCATGCTAACGAAATGAAATACAAATTGCACAAATCATCAAAAAACAATCACAACAGTAATACTACTATAAGAAACACATGATATTTGATTATCCTTAAACTCCAAACATGTCATTCAAATCCTTGTTATTTTTTTTAAACATCTGTCATTCAAATCCTTGTTATTTTTTTAAACATCTCATCAATTTATGAGTGATTGCATCTTTTGTGAAGTGATATATAAAATGAAACGGGTCGACCCGCTAACCAACCCAACCCGACCCAAATATCACGGGTTATCGGGCTCGGGTCATTCGGATTTCGGATTATAAAAATTTCTACTCTTCGAGCGGTTTCGGGTCGGGTCAACGGGTCGGGTTGTAATTTTCTAGGTCTAGGACTCCCTTTTGTAGTTCTTCCCACAAAGTTCCTTTTATTGCCTTTGTTACTTTGCTCCAATGCAATGGCTTCAATGAAGATCTTCGACGTGCCATAGCAGCACCCATTCCACTCCCTCGTCCTCTACCCCTTGCATCAGCAGCAACTCTTTTGGCACCTAAGGGTGGTGGTGGGGGCGACCCAACTCCCTGAGGACCTGGAATACTTCCTCCACGAGGAGTGGGTGGACGAGGCCCTCGACCCCCTAGAGGAGGAGGAAGAGGAGGAGGTGGAGGTGGTGCTGGGGCTCTAAGCAAAGGTGGTGGTGGAGGTGGAGGAGCCCCACTGACTGATGGTGGTGGGGGAGGAGGTGGTGTAGGAGCTCCCAATCTAGTAGGTGGCAGTGGCGGCGGAGGTGGAGGTGGAAGTCCACTTCTTGAAAATGATGGTGATGCAAGTGGAGAACCTTGACTTCTCATGGGCATAGGCGGTGGTGGTGGCGGTGGCGGCCATGGGATGCAATGAACATCTTGCAAATGAATAAAGGGAAGTTGTGGTGGAGGAGGTGGTGGTGGACTGCAACGAGCAACATTCTGCAACTGACTAAAGGGAGGGGGCAGCAATGTTGAAGACAAAGAACCTTGAGAAGCGATTTGGGGAGGAGGAGGTGGTGGAGGTTGTGACGATGGTGGTGCAGAAGTAGACCCCCAGGAGAGACCGGGAGGTGATGCCTCCCGGGTTATATGAGTATCAAAGTTCCCTTTTGATTCTGGCGCCTCCACTGTGAAGATCTCTTCCACGTCATAAAATTCTTCAGGTGAAGCACTTTCTAAATCATTCAGATCGTCACCAGTCAAAACTGTTGTGAGAGATGGGAGAACAGTGTCTGCATCTGCAAAATGTACCTGATACAAATAATAGTTTGTATTCAAACTCCCATAGCCACTAAAAATACACGACTCAGAGAAAGATAGCAGTAACATACCTCGGCTTTGAAGTCCCGTGAAAATTGATCCTTGGCATCCCACAAAATATCAATGTCATCACGGTTCAAGATCAAAATATTTGCTCGCACAAATGCTGTGTGGAACATCAGTCTGAAGATCATCTGCTCGTGCACGAGGTCTTCCTCCAAGTGGATACACTCAACAACAACATCACCTTGTACACGGCATCTAAGATCTATTTTCACAAGCATTCTGTCTTCCTGCCGTTGAAATTCATTATATAATCAACTCTTTGACGTTTACATATTCATCTTTCAAAATTTAATTTGATGACAGGGCATAATACCTGTGCATAGTGGCGTATGTGTATTTTCGTCTTCGAAGTTGAATACAAAAGCTTAGACGTTCTATTGGCTGGTTTTGAAGGATCCTGGCCATAAACACGCACAACCGGCCTGCAACCTTTTCCTCCTTCAAAGAGTGGAAGGGTTCTAAGCATCAAACAGTCGAGAATTAAGGGTGTGTCAGAAGGAGGCCAATCAATCCCAAAATTCCTTCTAGAAATATACTGAAGATATCTGAGCTGGGAAGGGTATGGATTTAAAGCAGATAAAACATGTAGAAGTTCCTTAGGAGCTTGCTTGTAGACTGCTTCAAGAGTCTTGTGCTCCCCACTATACTGCCCCCGATATAGCAAAAGACCGGCAAGCATGAAAGCAAGCACAGGCCACCCTCCTCTTTCGCAATGCATCAACAACACATTTTGTTGCCCCTCCAATGACAACCAGCTTTCACAAGATCGAAGGAAATGATGAACCATCTCCAGAGGCAACAATGGACACCCTTCATATTGACGAGGGTAATCCATAACTGTCATGTCATACTGTGTTAAGATGTCTGAAAGTTGGCTCCGTCTATCTCCCTCTCGAAAATTAAACACCATAAAGGAAGCATCGGGAAAGTTTTCCTGCAGCTTTGCTACAATCCCACCTAAGTAGAGCTTGTACTCATCCTCTTCCATGACATTGGTGGAGAAGCAACAGTCGAAAACTACCAAAAGGGAGGAAATGGGGGGAGAGAAGGAATAAAGGCTGGGAATTAAAGAAAGCTCTCATAAATAAGTCAACCAATCTAATAATAGCAGGACATTGAATATCCGGCAGCATTCAAATGCCAATTCTCGCTTAATTCTACAACCCACAAATTAAGAAAGTAGACTCAGTTCTGTTCTTCATCGAGTTATAATAAGGCTCGTGTATGGCTCTCAGAACCCTGAAGATACTGAATTCCACAACTTTACCCCATTGGCTGCTATAAGGATAAGAAGAGAGGCAAGAAGATGGTTCGTAATTCAGATCACATTGTCTCAGCACATGAAACGGAACTTCCAATTTGAGCTACAGAATTCCATTAACCCTAATCATAAAACCTATCAAGCAGAAAACCCTTTTCCAATCAACGGCAAAATAAAGGGAAGAATAATTTGCAGGAACAAAGGATCAGCAAAATCAACGACAACAATCAATCACATTCCAGGGGTGCAAACAAAGAGAATGCTGTAATACGAAGGAAGACGAGTTCTGGCGGGTTTGGTTGGGAGCAAAAGGAAAAGCAGGGGAAGGAGGTACCGTAAACCCTGTCGGAGATCTCCAGAAGCCGATCCGGTGGCTTCCGGTAGGAGAAGCGTCTGAACAGCGCCATTAGATGTCGCTGTTTCTACGGTGGCTGGATCCTTACCGGTCGATTTCTAGAATCACCCCGTCTTTCTTTTCCGGTGACAAAATTATAACCCCAAAAGAGGGATGAACGCAGATCCCCTCAAGTTTCCTCGTTGAGCTAAAATCGAAAAAAGGCTTGCAAAAATTCAGGCCGCCGCAGGCAAACGGCACTGGCGAATGCCGTCGGTAGGCAATTGGGAGCAACGGTGAAGGAATTGAATCGGGAAAGAATCTGTTGAAGTGAAAGTGACGGAGTGGAAGGATCAAAGGGAAGTGATGGAGAAGAGAAGTAGGAGGAGGGGAAATTTTTCTCTTTCTTTTCTTTTTTCATTATCGGACAGACGAAGGCCAGACGGAGGAGGAGGAGGAGGAGAGAGCGAGAGAGAAAGGAGGAGGGGAAATTTTTTCTCTCTGTTTTTTCATGTCAACATTTCAAACCGTCGTCATTACTAACCTTTATCGGCCGTTGATTGGCGCTAAAAAAGCGATCTGTCGTGGACGGTCAAGATTAAATTATAACTAAACGAGATCCTTCCTTCCTACAACTTACTTCTTACTTCTTAGCAACTAGGGGTGACTATACGGTCCGGTCCGGTTAAATTGACCCAAATTGATCCGGTCCCGTCCGGTTTTTTTGAGAATATAAGGACCAAAGATTGGATTTGGATACAGTCCGGTCTTGACCCGGTCCGGTCCCAATTCGGTCTTGATTTTATATTGAGATTGTGGGAATTTGAGTGGCCTAAGGCCTAAAAGGGTGAGGAGTTGGTTAAGTTTTGTACTAAGTGTAAAGGTTTGTGACCGTTTATGCAAATTACCCTTAAGTTTTGGGTGTTGAGCTCTCTTATCCGGTCTTTATCCGGTTTTTTACCTCAAATCTAAGCCCAAAGATTGGATTGGATTGTTTACTATCCGGTCCCAGTCCGGTCTCGGTCCGAGTTATACGGTTCGGTTTCCGGTTTTTCATCCGGTCCCGATCCAAATAGCCAGCCCTATTAGCAACAAGGAGGATAGAAACAAACCGAGAGCTTTGATCAGATAGGAAGAACGAATTAGAAGAATCGAGCGCTAGAGTGACAACAAACTGTAGTGCCTGTTTGACAGTTCGTCTCTGGTGTATCCGAGGAAAATTAGGGTTTCGGCTTCAAGTTCTCTTTCGATTCAATTTGCGCCAGAGAGGGTGCAGCAACGACCACCCCCGAAAAAGGATGTGGCACGAGGCGAGGAGATCGGAGCGGAAGGTCCACGACATGATGGACGCCGCTCGGAAGCGAGCGCAGCGGCGAGCGGTGTATTTGGCGAAGAGGAGAGGCGATCCTCAGCAATCGATTCAGGTCCTGGGCAATCGCTGCCGCATGTACCGCGATGATGGCCTCTACCAAGCCGCTGAGGATCAGCAGGGATTGTAAGTTTTTCCCTTCCACAATTTCCAAACTTCCCGTTCGTTTATTTTTCGCTTGATTGATGGAAAAATTTGTGCCTCATGATCTCAGGATACCTTGGAACGGGAAGGACGATGTACTGATTGACAGATTCGACGGCCGGGCGCTTCTCGATTTTATTCGGGAGGCTGGCTCTCGGAATTTCCGGCAGCCTGAGAAATCGGAAGAAGAGGAAGAACTCGAAGAGTTTGTTAGTTTTGAGCGTTATCGGGATTTAATTAAGCTTCGGCGCAGAGGATGTCGGTACTTTTTTACTATTGTTCTGAAACATTCGTGTTTTTCTTTATTGCTTCTCGCATCCAATTCCAATCTCTGGTGCTTTTGCTCGTTGCCCACACCAGCTGCTATCTAAATCTCGAGAAACTGCTTGGGACTAAGTTTTACAAGTTTGGGTTTCTGTGTTGTAACAGTAACTGATGAGGAGGGTGTACGCCATGTGATGCAAGAGATGGAAGCCAAAGCGATTGCTCCATTTGTTTCCAACAGGTTACTTAAAAACTTCGTTTTTGCTCTAGTAAAGGTCTATGCCAACTTGGGTTGTTGCATGCTCTGTCCAGCGTCTTGTTGTAGATGCTTAGTAAATGATATACTTACTAATTGGATGAATCATGCATTTTCCTTTTTGGTTGGATTGTCATTTGTGCATCAATGAAATGGTAAAACCTCCTTGTCCCCTCTCCCCTTGCTTTGTATATGTATCTGCATGTCACCCTGGCTTGTAGCACAATGAATGGAAATGACCTTCCTATCTAAATAGCTCACATATGCTTCCCGGAAAGGATGAGCTTGAAGAAAAAAAGTCGTAGCGTGTCAGAACGACGTTGTCTGGCGAAATGATATTAGAGTGTCACTTTCAAAGATGACACTGTGCTCAGCTTCACTCTCTTGCACTGTACTTTGCCTGAATTGAGCTTCATTTACCATGTAGCATCTTGGATTTTCTCTGTGTTTTGAGCAGTAGTAATTGTGAAATTTGTTGCGATCTGAAATTGATGGGTTCTCTCTGCTTTTTCTTCAATTCTTCTTGGCTTATCATCTGACTCAGTTGTCTTCTCTTCTGTTTCATTCCACAAATTCAGCAAATCTCAACAGGCACAGCCTCCTGCCAACAAGGGTACATATTCACAAGTGGGTTTCTCTTACGACGGAAACAGAAAAGAGGATGAGAAGCTATCAGATGGCGACGATGACGAAGACGATGATGAAGATGACGAGGATGAAGAAGATGACTTTAACAGTGACGACAGCGGTGATGAAGGAATTGATGTTATTGCAAAAGAATTTGGAGTTAAGAGGTTTGGTTGGCTTGTGTATATGGATAAAAAGGCAAAAGAAGAGGAGAAAAGGCAGAAGGAAGTTGTTAAAGGCGATCCTGCAATTGTAAGTTTTAGTAGTGTCTAGTCATCCTTACTTCATTTACCTCAGACCTAATGCCAATGATCGGAACTTCTGTGATTCCAGAGGAAGTTGAGTCGTAAGGAGAGAAGGAAAGCTTCTCAAGTAGAGAGGGAAAAAGAGAAGGAAGCTGCTAGAATCACTGGGACCAGATTGCTGCGTCATGATCCCTACCGGTAAGCTTTAATTCTTAATTATTTTTTAGCCTTGGTTAATTTAACGTTTTGTGATTTAGAGGTACACTTTGTCGTATACTCGTATTTGTAGTGATGGTTCTTTTTTGGCTGTGTAGGGAATCTAGACGGAGTCCAACTTATGAAGCTTATTCTCGTTCTAGAAGGTATTCCTGTTCTTTCTAAGTGATTTGTGATCCTTTTTCCACTGAAAAGAATTCTAGTCACATTCTGATCCCTAACTGGCTGTTCTGTTCTATATTTGCAGATCAAGGTCGAGATCATACTCTCCACCACACTCTAGACGTCACAGTCGTGCTGGTCACTATGACGACGTTCATCGCAGCAAAGCTAAGAGTCCTAAGATAGAGTATATCACTGAATTTGGGAGCTCTACCACTGTGGAAGAGTCAAAGTTTGAAGGATATTCTCCCCCACCATCTCCATCCCGGACTGATTTGGTGAACCGGTCGGAGCACTTCGACCTTTTCAATTCTTGCAAAAAGATAGATTCGACAGTCTTTTCTGCTGCAGCTTTACCCCTTTTAAACCCAGGGGAAACTTTGTTTGTTCAAAATAGATCAGGGCTAGGAGTTATCTGCGTACCTGCCTGGATGGAGCGAAAAGAAGCTTCCTTTTCTGAAGCTCATCATTGTTCCGATTTACTTCTGCCTGATATGATCAACCACCGAGTTACATGGGAGCTGTGAACTAGGTTTATCTAAAGCTTCTGCTTTCCTGCAGGCCATCATCTCGTCATATACTTGAGGCACTTCATGTTGACCCAGCATCTGGTGTATCTCTTGACAAGGATAAAACTGCAAAAGAGTTGAAACCTTCTGCAAGGTATGTGTACATCTAGATAGATAAATATTTTCTGAGTTTTTCAATCTGCTGTTGAGATCATAATTTTGCTGGTGTTTTGATGCACTTGGTTTAAAATATGTTTTTTTTTGTCTTAGTTTACACTGAATCGCCTAATTGTCTGCAATATAGCAGCAGCAGCTCCTCAGGGTTATCAAAGCTAAGCAAGGCAAGTGTTCCTGGGGGAGTTGTAAAGCAGCAGCCAGGGGAGAAAAAGGAAACTCCCCAGGAGAGGCTTAAAAGGATTATGAACACGCAGCTAAATAAACAAAGTATGTACTGAAATGCCCTTGTCCATGATCTTCTAGTTCCGTAATTCCTTACATGCATTAGGCCTCTGACCAGATAAGATGCAATTTGGATGATTAAACTGCCTTTATACTCTGCATTTCCCCCCTTGATTTCACTATATTCCTATTTTTTATATTTGACATAACATTTTATGCCATGTTTCTCCAGTTAAGAAGGACTCTGTTGCTGAAATGACTAAAAAGAAAGAACAAGAGCGTCAGAGAATGGAGAAACTAGCAGAAACAAGTCGGATTAGTCGTTATAGACGACGTAGCCGCAGCAGGAGTCACAGCCGTTCTCCGCCAAGGTAAACATCCTTCTTTCCATTTGGCTGGTCCTTCGGCTAATGGAATTTTAGAATTGATCGATTTTCAGGATTCTGAAGTTCATCGTTTTGTATGTGGATTGTGTGCGGGTCCGGTGTTAAATGGCAAGTATCAAACTATGACTGCATTTTGATGTTTTTCCTTCTGTTATCGAGGGTAATATAATTTTTTTGATGAAGGTGACTGAGTATCGAGGGTCATATATTAAAGTGAACTAATTTATATGAGCAAACAATAGATAGGAAACAATCCATCGACACACAACACTCCACCAAAGAATTTCCTTTTACAATTACCTATGGTGCTAGGTTTTTTTTACTGCAACAAGTTCTTTTTCCAATGTGTTGTTCTTGTCAGCCGAAGGAACCGACACAGCAGAAGTCGAAGCAGGAGCAGGAGTTCACGGAGGCACCATTCGAGATCCCGCTCAAGTTCGCACTCCCGGTCTCGTTCTCCGTCCAGGTCACGGTCTTACTCTCGCTCTCCCAGGTGAAGATGCTGCCTTTCGCCTTGCGCAAAATCTATTGTATTTTATTCAGTTCATTTGATAGATTGCAATCCTTTCTGACATTTGTAGGAGAAGGAGGAGATCAAGATACTAGTGGCTGGTAACCGGATGCTTATGCTTGCTGGGGGAGATGGGTCAACAGTTGCAGCATCTCTGCTATCATGCTGCCGTTGTCTAATATTATTATTATTGTGTATTTGTGTTTTAACTTGAGAAGAAGGTGCACGTCATGTTCTGCATGAATGAGAAAGTATGAGCGTGTGTTATACATGTATGATTTTGACTTCTGATACAAGGCAATGCGATTTTGTTACCAATGTGACAGCATGTTATTTACCCGGCTCCTGGTTCACCTTTTTATATATTTTAGTGGGCATGTGATGATTATGGTTCCTCGTAATATACCTCCATTTGTTTCTCTCATTGCTTGCTGATTCTTTGAGGAAGCAGCAGCAGTTTCTAGCTTGTTACTGCTGCTTGTTTAGTAAAATACCGTACGGGTAATGTATCGACTCCGATGGAACTTAACCTCAAACTTGGGCGGGAGTCCAGTGATTTGTTGCCCGATGGAGGCAAGCAGTATCGTAGTATTGTTGGGAGTCTTATCTATCTTACTTCTACTCGGCTCGACATTGTATTTGTTGTTCAAGTGGTCAGTCAGTTCATGTTTGCTACTCGTACTGATCATCTTGCTGCTGTTCATCGACTTCTTCGTTACCTTAAGGGTACTCACGGGGTTGGCTTGTTTCTCCCGTCTACTGGCTCATTGGTACTTCAAGCTTTCTCTGATTCAGACTATGCAGGATGTGTGGATACCCGTCGTTGCACGATGGGGTGGTGCATTCGCCTTGGCAATTCCTTCATATCTTGGCTCTGTAAGAAGCAGGGCCGGGTCTCTAAATCCTCGATTGAGGCGGAATATCGGGCGATGTCTAATGTGACTTCTGAGTTAGAATGGCTACAGCGGTTGCTTAGTGATTTCGGTGTTGCCTGCGAGGTCCCTATGCAGCTTCATGTGGATAATACTAGTGCGATTCGGATTGCCACCAACCCTGTTCTTCACGATCGTACTAAACATATTGAGGTTCATGTTCACTATATCCGTGATCTATTCCGGGCCGGTGTCATCCGTGTATTCTATGTGTGTTCGTAGGACTAGGTTGCTAATATACTTACTAAGGCCTTCACTACTAGTCGTCATTCCTATCTTGCTGGCAAATTGATGATGCGAGACCTCCATCAATTTGGGGGAGGCTGTTGAGTTATATATTCTCGTTATGTTCATGGGTTGTGGTCCAATTGGGTTTACGTTGTATTATAGTAGTCAGGGACGGAGCCAGCTCATGTTGAGGAGGGGCCATGGCCCCCCTAAAATTTACAAATACTAACAAACGTGCAGCGCAAACCTAATTTTAACCTTGGCAGTAGTGGTTCAAATGCTAAATTTAAATTATAATTGGTCTTGAGGTTGCTGGTTCGAACACAGCCTTAGGTAAAACTCAAATATATCTTGCTTAATTATTTTGGCAGACTTTCCCAATTGCATTTTCACAGTTTTTCCAACATTTTGCTTACTTATTTAGGCATTTTCCCCATAGCACAGTTTTTTCAATTTTGCTTAATTTCTTTGGCAGAACTCTTGTAGGTTCTTCACAGCTTTTTTAATTTCTTCGGCAGGTCTCTTTGTTGAAATTTTTATGTAGCATATATTTTTAAATGGTAAAATCTAGGCTTCTTTTTTAAGATGTATCATGATTAGTGATTACCGTAATTTTGATAATATTTTGAATGATTTTATATAAAATAATTCTAAATTGTTTTGGTTGTTATATTTTTTTATGTATTTTCCACCACCATTTGTGTGTTGGGAAATAAAAAATCGCCGGCCCCCCCTAATCGAAAATTCTGGCACCGTCCCTGATAGTAGTGTAGGCCTAGTTAATTACCCTACCCAAAGTCGATTTCCATCTGTGCATCTCGGCTAGGGTTAGGAGATTGTATATATAGTTGTCATGAACCTTCTGCCAAAGCTAAGTTAAATAAGAGGGTTAATAGCTTCGGCCGTAAACTAGTCTTGATCACACCTAAATTCCTGTGTGTTCTTTCCGTTCCGATTCTCTTTTCATCGTCCCTAGTCTCTCCGCTTCAACACACACAATTTGTGTTTCTTGCGAATCCCGGCCGGTATATACACAGTGGCGGAGCTAGCTTGGAAGAGGGTGGGTCCCCGGACCTACCTTGGCTCGAGATTAAGTGCTTGTTTGGAAGTTGTGATTGTTAAATATATATATTAATACGAAATCCAATCTCACAATACAAGTAACAATCTCACGTAAACAATCGCAACTTCACAATATATATATTTGTACGAACCCCCTAATGTTAAAATCAAACCCCTCATGTTCACTACTTTTCTACTAACATATTGTAGAAAACTTTATAGCACATATTAACCTTACATATTATATAATTAATTCTAGATTTTTACATAAAACTACATCTCTAATGGTTTATTCTTAGTTTTTTAATTTATAATTTAGGGTAAATTTCTCCATCCTCAAACGAAATCGGTCGAAAAACTATAAAAACACATCGTGGGTCATGTAAATATTAATTATATTTATCATATATATTTTTATTTTCACGTCGGACCCACCTTGAATGAAATCCTGGCTACGCCACTGTATATACACCCTTGCATGCATGCAGTCAGCATTCACTAAAAACCAAAAGATGATGATGTATATAAGCATCCAGTTTCCAACAAACTTATCAACCCAGCCCACATGTGAAAAGAGAAAACGCTATTTGTGTTTCTTGCCCATCCCGGTATAGTTTGTTACGATTCCCTTCTGATCCCTCCACGATGCAATACCTAAAATTCAGCCTTGGCTCTCATTATAAAGATCGTTAGTAGCAACATATAGGTCACTTTACTATCATTCCTCCAAAAAAGCCCTAACGAGATTCCACAATGTTGCGAGTTATGATCATCACTTCCACAACCATCCTCCTGCTGCTGCTGCTGGCACGACCACTTCCGGCGACGGACTCCTCCTCCTTCGATACCGTGTACATAGTGTACACAGGTGCTGCAAACCCGGCCAACTTCGCTGTCAAGGAAACCGTTCTCAACTCTCTACTCGAGAGGTGCGTGACTGACAGATAATTTTTTATTTATTTTATTTTTTTTTTGTAAATCGGACGATGTTTGTGTTTCGTTTAGTACATATTTAACTGTGGTCCGGTCCCCGTTTGTAGTAGCCGGCGGCGGGGGAAGCAAGAGATGGAGGTTCTCATGACTTATAGCCACGGGTTGTCGGGCTTCGCAGCCCGTCTCTCGCCGGAGGAGGCAGCTTCTGTTGCAGCCCAACCAGGAGTCGTGTCGGTCTTCCCGGACACCAGCATGCAGCTCTTCACGACAAGATCCTGGGACTTCCTCGAAGCGTTGACTCAATCCAATGCCGCCGCATCTCCTCCGCTCCCGGCTTCAAGGGCACCCGACAGCAGCAACGTTGTGATAGGTTTCTTGGACACCGGGATATGGCCCGAGTCCGAGAGCTTTCGACGACGACAACAAGGCGGGAGCATCCCACGTGGCTGGAAGGGTACCTGCGTCACGGCAAGAGACTTCAACAAAACCGCCTGCAATGGGACGTAAGCAAGCCACCCTAACGAATAATCTCAAGTTTATTTTTCGTATATCTAATAAAATTATATTAACAAGGGTTTATATAGATAAATATGGTACTGACGTGTAATACAATAACTTAATTATCTCAATTGGTTTTGTCTTTTTTCATGGTGTACGTTGAAAAGGAAAATCATAGGCGCCAAGTACTACATCAGCCACAGCCCAAGAGACCGAGACGGACACGGGAGCCACGTGGCGTCAACGGCGGCGGGAGTGGCGGTGGACAAGGCTTCCTTCTACGACGGCCTCGCTGCGGGCACCGCCAGGGGAGGGTCGGAGTCCGCCAAGATTGCCATGTACAAAGTGTGCGAGAATAGGAACTGCCCGAAAACGGCCATCCTCAAAGCATTCGATGACGCCATCGCCGACGGCGTCCACGTCATTTCCGTCTCGCTCGGCGATCCCTATCCCGACTTTCTCAGCGACCCGGTCGCCATCGGTGCCTTTCACGCCGTCGAGCACGGGATCACGGTCGTTTGTGCTGCCGGAAACAGCGGGCCCCGGCCGTCCACGATCTTAAACGATGCGCCGTGGGTCGTGACCGTGGGCGCCTCCACCGTCGACAGGGCTTTCCGCTCCGACATCCTCCTGGGCGGAGGCGAAGTTGTAAAGGTTCGTGCAACTTTTTGTTTATTTCTTTTTTTTTTTTTCCTGTATTATTTTTGAAAACGATAATTAATTTCATGAGTATGGTTTCAACTTTCAACAAAACATACAGGGGGAATGGATACGGCTTCCCGATCTGAGTCGATCGCCGATATACCCACTCATCGACGGCCGATCAGCAGCCAAGGCAGGCAATTTGTCCCGCGCGGCAAGGTTGTCCTTAATTAATTTGTTTATATTTATATAATTCCGATGGCGTGATGAAGATAAAACAAAATAATAACCAAACAATTTTTCGATTCTAATAACTACAGAAGATGCGAACCCGGTTCCCTAAGCAAGGCGAAAACTAAAGGCAAAATCGTGATCTGTGATATCAAAGACCGCAACGGCTTCAATTTCAAAGACCAATTGGACAAGGTGGCGCTAAGAGGCAGCTTAGGTATAATACTTGCTAACAACGATTCCAAAAGGGTGGTCCTATACCAATGGGACTTTCCCCTTACTAGGGTCGGCTGGAGTGGAGCTGCACAGATTCTCAACTATATCAAAACTACTAGGTACGTACGTACGTGCTTACATTACATACATGCATGACTTTCCCATTTTTATATTATTATCCAAACTTAAAAGTTGATAGATTACTCATCATGACCAATGTACGTAGGAACCCTTTGGCAACCTTCCTGCCGACGGTAGTTGTGGGAAACTACACTCCAGCACCAGAAGTTGCATCCTTCTCGTCCCGGGGACCTTCCAGCAACTCGGCCGACATTATCAAGGCATGCAAATGATCTACATCGATCTTTCCCATATCACAATCTTGTTTGTAGTTAGTTAGTTAGCCAATGATACGATAGTTTGATATTCGGTTCTTGCCGCGCGCGCAGCCAGACGTAACAGCTCCTGGCCTCGCCATCCTCGCCGCCTGGATAGGTGATCGGCCGCTTGATGAGAAGCCGAAAGGAAGGCCCCAATCAAGCTTCGAAATCGACTCCGGAACATCCATGTCGGGGGTCGCGGCCAACATCAAGGCCGCACACCCTGCCTTCACCCCATCTGCCATCAAATCAGCCATCATGACCACAGGTAGAAACAAAACGTTGTGAAATGGATAGATCAGGAATTCTTTTTTTTTTTTCCTCTCCTATTTATCGACCTAATTATGTTTTTATTTCGGTATTGTTTCAAGCTTTTTCAAACGACAATCTGGGATCCCCGATCACCAGCAACAACGGAGACGAGGCCACCCCGTACGATTTGGGAGCAGGGGAGCTGAACCCAAGGGGATCGCTGAACCCGGGACTCGTGTACGAGACGAGCGCGACCGACAACCTGCTTTTCATGTGTTACCATGGGTACGACACGAGCACTGTGAGGTCGATGTCCAAAGTTGCCCGATCGACAGGCTTCTCGTGTCCTGACGACTCCGGACCGGACCTCATCTCGAACATCAACTACCCATCGATCTCGGTCCTCCTGCGAGCCGCCAACAAAATCAGGACCGTTCCCAGGGTCTTGACCAATGTGGCTGGAAGCGGGAATTGGACCTACAGGGCCGTGGTCAGATTTGGAGGAGCATCGCCATGTGTGACTGTCAAAGTATCCCCAACAAAGTTGCTCTTCACTGAAAACGGAGAGAAGCGATCGTACAAGGTCAAGGTTAGATCAAAGGGTGGTTGTCCTGTAGACAAGGGTGTTGTATATGGTTGGATCACGTGGACCAACCCATCTTTTAAGGTCCGATCCCCGTTTGTCGTCCGGAGGTAGTTCCACAAAGATTAGCAGCTTATGATCGATATAAATAATTAAGAAACCGAGGACTCCTAGAAAAACCTAACGAATAAAGATAGCTATGCACTTAATTAGCATACCTTTCTGGCTTTCTCTAACGGATTGGATAATGTAATCGTCAATTCTGATAGATTAATAAAAGTTTGTAAGGTTCTTATTAAAAAACATATGGTCCTCTAATAGATTGAATATCATCATTATAAGAAGAAGAATATAATCTTATTCAATTCAGATCGGATACTGAAGTTTTCTATTTTTGAGGAAATGTGGATTAGTTTCACCAAACAAACAGAAATGCTTATAAAATGCTAACGACGCGTAATTATGGGTTCGATTAACTGAAAACTCAGAAAACGTCAATTAATTAAAGAGTGGGATACAAACAAATATAGCATTTCGAACGCCATCAGTCAAATAATTTAAAGGTGCATGACCAAGAGTTATAGGATGGAATAATAGTCATATACGGTTGCGATGTTAAGGGTTTTACTGAAGATTATTTCTCGCATGTATTTGCGGAGAAGTTGAGATTTACATAAATTAAGAAGGTATGTCACCATGTCTCCTTATATATATGTGCATATGGTAGATGTAATAGTTAATATGTCACCCTACTATTGAAGAAAATCATACAAAAGGAAAACAATTTAGCGAGAAATCAACCACTATGAAACTCTCATCATCACCAGCAATTCTATCTGCTCTTCTACTGATTTTTCTCATTCATGGTGATCAATTATCCATATGTCTATAGTTCCATGTCATGCATTTCTCATGTTATTTTTTGGAGTGCCTTCAAAGATATCATCATCCCAGTCATTTCCATTTTTATGCATTTAGTATAAATGATCTCTTCTTTTACTAATTTAGAAATGTTTGCAATGAAAAATAGGGAACGAGGTCGCAGCACTACAACATTGGGGCTCGAATTCCGATCTCTGCAAATTCACTTCTTTCCCTCAAAGGTTTTTGCGTCTTCGAAATGGTGTTTGTACCAACCTGGCATGCAATACCGCATGCAACAACATGTTTGCCATCTTTGGAGTCAATATTGTCGGACGGTGTGAGCATCAATCTTGTGCATGCTACGAGGGGTGCCTCCATCCTTTAGACCCGCCTAAATCCTTTAGACAAGCCGGCACCGCCAGGATATCAGATCCAACATTAAATTGAGAGTTCAATTCGCCAATGAGAAATTATTTTCTGATAGAGCCTTTTTTATTTTCTACCTTCCATTTTGGTAGAATATGGAATCAAGCTAGCTTTGTAGCTAGCAATGAAACGTTTAATAAAATTTTAGTGAGTTAATATATTATTCCTTTAATGTTTTTGTGGGGAATGAGATGCCTTGATGTTAGCACCATACTAACCTAAGTTTTAGTTTTTGAATTGAAAATAAATAATCCTAGGGTCATAACTTATTGAGGTTGTTTTCCCAATAAGTCCATGCGTACTCTCCCCCAAGGCATAATTATCTAATTACTCCTCAAATAATTTCTTTGCGATAGAGACTCTATTGATACAGGCTTAGGGATACTTTGTAGAGCATTGGTAGTATGATGATATCGAGATGTGGATATTTACATAGAGAGACTTGATTAGATTCATGCAGTCAGTGATCATCAACGTGCGTACACCTAAAGGCTTAGAAAGATCTAGCGTACGTCGTTACAAGAGTCTTAGCCTATTTTGTTGTAACTTAAAATATGACTATATGCCGTCAACGAGAAGTCATGAGGTCTCACTACATAAATATATATGAGCAAAACTTACACTGTGTCTCACCCGAAATTACAGAAAAGTAAAAGACACTCGAAATTACAAAACAGTAAACTTAGCAAAACAAACTTCAAAAAGCAAAACTAATACAACATTCTTAAAAGACATAACAGTGGAGCTACGCCTATTGAAAGAAGGTGCAGCACTCCAGAACCATATTCCAGACAACCCTTCCAATCATACACTTTGTAAAGTGTTGGCTGCGACTGCTTATTTAATTTAATGAAAAGTGTTGGCTTCCCTCCAAAGTGGCGACAATGGATCAAAGGTGACATATGCTTGTTGAAGACTTCTGTTTTGGTTAATGGTGAGACTTATGGGTATTTCAATTCTGGGAAAGGTGTAAGACAGGGAGACCCTCTCTCTCCGGGTTTTTTTGTTCTTGTTATGGAAGTTCTATCCTTCCTAATATCAAAGCTTCGTGAAGATAAAGGAATTTCAGGCTTTTTCATGGACGTGAGTAGGGGTGTTGGTGAAGTGACACATCTATTGTTTGCGGGCGGCTCCCTCATTTTTTGTGATGCTTCTGCAGAGCAGGTTATTAACATCCTCGCTTTACTCGTCTGCTTCCAGTCCATCACAGGATTGAAGATTAACCTCGACAAGTCTACCATGTACACAATTGGGGATATTCCTGAACCATGGTATTTTGCTTCAATATTTGGGTGTAAATGGAGCAAAGATCCCTCAAGATATCTCGGGCTAGCTTTGGGAGACCGCCCAACTGCTGTTTCTGCCTGGAATTCAGTTGTCGATAAGTATCAAAGGCGACTTCAAGGCTGGAAGAACAAGTGTCTATCCTTCGGGGCTAGGATGACCTTAAACTCCTCTATGCTTAACAGCCTTCTAGTGTAGCATTTTGCAGTTGGTAAAGCCCCAAAGACAGTCGTTAATCGTCTGGAGAATATAAACAAGTGCAAAAAGTTGAGGGCTGCGATCATAGAAACATTTAATGAACCATATCTCATGACAATTCTAAAGGTAAACATGCTTGGGCGAGAGTAGCATACCCACCTTTAATAAAATGCAATGTCTCACTAGCCCCTTTAATTCCACTTCACACTTTTTAGTGGACAAAGATAAAAAGTACATCCTCACGAACACTAGAAAACTCATCTCCTTACCCCAATTTAATTCACATTCTTCCTCTCCTTCTTGATTTATCCATCGAGTGTCGATAGGGGGAAAATTCAAAATTCCAGCCTCGCAACTAGTTCATCAAGATCACATAATTCCAACATCATAGACTCATAGTACTCTGAGGGTGTCAGCTCATGTTGCCTCATGTACCTCAATGACTTGACTGTTATTTCGAGTGGCAGGAATGCCTCATGGCCATATGTCAAAGAGAAAGGGGTCACCTTTGTACTACTACGTGGTGACATCCGATAAGCCCATAAGGCTTCCGACAAGACTTCATGCCACTTTCTCGGGTTATCTTCAATCATCTTAGACAATATACCCTTCACCACCTTGTTGGATGCTTCAGCTTGACCATTGGCTTGAGCGTAGTAAGGAGTGGAGTGTATGATTTTGATGTCGTGTTCTTCGGCAAAAGCCATCACTTCCCCTCCCGTGAACACGGTACCCTGGTCAGCTGCTATGGTGGCTGGCAAGCCGAACCTATGTATTATATTTTCTTTGATGAACTTGATGATTTCTCCTTGATTGACCACTGTCATTGGCTTGGCCTCCACCCACTTGGTGAAGTAATCAGTTGCCAAGATGACAAATGTATGTCTATCAGAAGATGGTGGATAAATCTTTCCAATCAGGTCCATGGCCCATCCCATGAAAGGTCGAGGCTTGATGATAGACTTCAAGTCGATGGCCGGAGCTCTTTGCACCGGGCCATATCGTTGACAGGCCTCACACCCCTTAGCAAAAGCGGCACAATCTTCCCGGATGGATGGCCAGTAGTACCCATACCGGTGGAGTACCCATCTCATAGAAGGGCCTGCTTGATGAGCACCACATATCCCTTCATGAACCTCACCCATGGCTTGTAGGGCCTCCTTGCCCCCCAAGCACTTCAACAGTAAACCGTCTGGTCTCCTTTTGAATAAGACCTCATCCAACAAGACGTAGTTCCTTGCCTTGAATTTGATGGCCCGATCCACATCCCCTGTTGGATTCTTCAAGTATGCTATCAAGGGGGTACGCTAGTCACCGGCATCCTCTTCAATTGTAAACACATCTACCCTTTGCTTAAGTCTCGCATGTAGTGGGTTGAGCGTTCGCACAAAAATTTGCTCTCCCCCTTCATGAGCAAACTCTTTGAACCCCGAAGCTAGTTGTGCTAAGTAGTTGGCCTTGCCATTGTCCTGGCGAGGAACATACTTGATGGAGACATTATCAAAGTGGGTAATTAATATTTGGACATAATCAAGATATGTCTCTAGTATGCAATTGATGCATCGAAATTCACCAAGTACTTGGTAGACTACCAGTTGGGAGTCCCCTTGAATGTTAACACTTTTGACTTTCAAGTCAACAAGCATCTCCAGCCCAACCACTAAAGCCTCCTACTCGGCTTGATTGTTAGTGCATGGGAGATCAAGTGTAAAGGCAAAGTGCATGGCATGCCCTGATGGGGAAGTGAGGACCACGCCAGCACCCGCTCCAGATCGTGTTTTTGATCCGTCAAAGTATAAGGTCCAAGGGGCCTCCTCCACCAAGTCTATTTCTACCAACTCAGCTGGCACATCCACACATGGGTGGTCAGCTAAAAAGTCAGCCAATGCTTGGCCCTTTATGGCCTTTTGAGGCACATATTGCAAGTTGAACTCAAATAGTGCAAGTGTCCACTTACCAATCCTCCCATGGATGATTGGCCGGGACAACATGTACTTTATTATATCAGTCTTACATATGAGTTGCACTTGAACAGGCGAACTGTGTCAGAATCTTGTCGCCGGAGCCGGGGTCGGACGAGGCATCGGCGGCGAGGGTCTCGGTTGCTCAGGATCGGGGTAGTGATGGGAGTCGTTTGGCATTCCGGGAGAGTCCCTCGGGCCGATCTGTGAGCATGCAGCCTCGTGCATGCAGTGCTGGGGTTTCCAAGGCATTTATGACTAATTTAGGGGGGGGGGGGCCATTGGTAGGTCCGGTTCCCAATCCTTTGGGATGGCGAAGCAGAAGGTGAAAAGGGTGTGGGTTCGGAAAGCTGGTCCGATCTGGGCGCCGAGTTCGCCAGGCCTCGCTGGAAACGCTGGGCCGTGCTCTGCTTTGGGCCCATTTCTTGAGCGCTCTCAGCCCAGCCCGGAAGAGATTTATCTCAATTTTCTTCTTGATCCAGCCTTGTCTTTACCCCCCCCCCTTAAGCCTGGGCCTTTTTTCTCGGTTGTTGTGGGAGAGCTTCTTTTGTCCTGTGAAATCGTATCCCCTTCCTTATCTTTATCCTATTTTCCTCCTAAATGCGTCCGGCCTTGCCGTGTCTCTGCCCCAATCGATCTGGACGCTTTGCCGGAGTATGAGCCAAATCCGCTTTCCTCATGGAACTCGGTCGTTGGCGGCTCCCCTTCCCCTTCTGGCCTTGCCTCTCCGCAAGTGACTTCCTCTATCATACACCCAGGCTCCCCCCCCTTCGTTTATTTGTTCGGATCTACCTTCTCCTTCGCGGGTTCTTGGGCATCCTGATCTATGCTGGGACCTCGAGGCGCATCCCTTTGATGCGGACACTTTGGAAGGCAAAAGCTTGAGTGTAAGCAATCTGCTGGGACTTGAACTTTATGGGGGTCAGGACTCGGTGGAATCATTGGTATCAAATACTGCTCGATCCTTGCACCAGAAGAAGATTAGGAGCGGAAGGTCAAAATTGGAAATGGAATTGCATCGTCTGGGTCCGTCTCCATCTCCACCCTCGGTGTCGAGGCGTTCTAAGAGGAGGGGCAGTGGTGAGTGTTTGTCTTCTCCATCATGAGTTTTTCTTTGATTGTCTGGAATGTTAGGGGTCTTGGGGACCCTGAGAAACGGGGCAGAATCAAGTATCTTCTCAGGAGGCAGTCTCCCAAGATTGTGGGGCTTATTGAAACTAAATGGGACGTGTGTTCTGATTCTCTTGTCAGCAGCGTGAGCGGTAGAAGAGATTCTGGCTGGGTCGCGAAAGACGCAGTTAGAAGCTCGGGTGGCATTGTTGTTTTCTGGGATAAGGCTTTCTTCAGTCTGTTGTCTAGCAGGTAAGGCTCTCTCTATCTCGATGTGTATCTTTGGGATAATTTAAAACGGACTTCTTGGCATCTGATCGTGGTTTATGGACCTCAAAGTAGGAGTGAGAAGTTGCTGTTCATCACGGAATTAAATGAGATATGCAGCCTTCTTTCCTCTCCTGCTTGCTTTGCTGGGGATTTCAATCTGGTTAGGAGCCATGAGGATTATCAAGGGTCGAGAAGGAGTGCTGAGATTATGGAGGTTTTCAACAGTTTCATCGATTCCAACGAGCTTCTTGAGCTTCCTCTCGCTGGTAGTAGGTTCACCTGGCATCATGGCCCTGGAAGTAGCTCTGTTTCTCGCATTGATCGTGTCCTTATTTCGCCCGATTTTTGACTCTACCTTCCCCGATTGTGGAGTCTGATCACAATCCGCTACTTATTTGCTGGGGTGAGAACAGGAGAACCCGAAGGCCGTGG